AAACATACTATGTTATAATTTCTAAAGATTTCTTTGACCCGCATCTGCGGGGCTGACCAGAAAGCGTGGCCACGGGAACTGTTTTGTTTGCAAAAGTACTTTTCCTAGAAAGTGCGCTTTCGTCGTGCCATGCAGACGCTCGAGCCGTTCCTCACGACGATGCACCAAGAACAATGATTTGTGCCTCTCGAATACATGGCTTGCACTGAGCGCGAACTTTATAGAGCGTGCATTTTGCACCACCGGATTTGATTTTCTCAGTAAGAACAACTCGCAATGATAACCGACGTATAGTGCGATGGAGTCAAGTGCAACCCATGTTAAACAGTACAGCTTTCTGATTAAATGCGATGTTGACAACACCAGGAATAGACGTACAAATTATAAAGTTGCGTGATTTATAGCAGTCTCTCGATGATATTGGCGACGTGCGCGACCGAAAGCGTCGCTGTGGTGGGCCTTCCACGATTGGCCGAACGCTGACTATGACGTCAGAAAAAGATTTCTCATCGACGGAAATAAGAGGAATGAAAGAACTTTAGTTTTGACGGTGTTGGCAGTGTTGCTTTCAGAGCGCCATGATTTCAAGCTTTCACCATGCTACTTACAAACACCATCGAACTTGTTGTTTGCAAGGTAATGACGTCACAAGGGGGAACCATAGCAGGGCGCCACCAAAACATCTCGCCGCTAATAGGGCAGCCTGACGAAATGTTAGAGCGCTTGACAGATAAAGCACAGAGTTGTAAAGTGAGGGCCCAAAACAAGTGCGCGCAAAATCGAATATATCATTAGCCTCCCGAGGCAGTATCTTGAGAAGGTTCGAGCTCATGCAAGCTGATGCCCAAATGTGATTTATATTAGGATTCTAAGAATGTTCTTCTGTCCTTCACCCTATTTATGTATAATTAGAAATATCATTCCATGCATCCCTATGTATTTGGTATTGGAGCAAAGCGTTGTGTAAGGGATTATTTAGAAAAATACCATTATTATGTACCACTTTCTGCACATTTTGTATATTGGCCTTCCCATCTATCATGTGAGCACAAAGTACAATTTGGCATACCTTGCAACCCGGTGTTTGGCAGTGCCAAACAGCGAACACAAAACACGTTTCCGTAGACTCAACAGCTGGCGTATTTCCGAGTATCGTCCTCCCCTGTCGGTCTCAAGCGGTTATGTGAACTTCATAAGGTCAAATATACTGATGAAAATAAAATGTATTTAGTTACTGACTGAAACTTTGACAACGTAAATAAAGGGCCGATCACCTTAAAGATGAACCTCATAAGCAAATTAATGCACACTCAACTCATCTGAAAGGTGGACTGTAAATCTTTTCCGGCGCTTTTATCCTCGATAGCCGCGTTATAACTTGTGATTTGGGAGAGCCTTAAATAAATTTATGATCTTGACGCTAATTGAAATAACTGTGTTCCCGACAGATATATGTAACTTCTCACATATATAGAAGTATGTTATTGTCTCTTTTTTGTCTGGTGAACAGAACTATTATGTGTTTGTGTGCTGGACAACAACAAAGTGCACAGGGGCGCGTGGCGTAACTATGACGATTACGCACGCAAACCGTCAGAAGGTGTCACATTAAATGGCTGCCATGTCAAATAGAACAGCAAATACTACTTTGTTTTATTTACCAAAATCATCAACTAGCGAGGACAGTGGTTACTTGCAAAATAAATTGACCGGAATCTTGTCAAGAACAAACCTCAAGAGCAAGTCTATGCCAGTTTATCCTGTATAAGAAAAGGTTTACTTGGGTAACCGCTATTTAAGGCTAGATTCCATCTGAGTACGAAGGTGCTTATAGTGTGAACAATTTTGATTAATCATTTCCGCATGATTCGTCGCGTGCATCATGGTGCTGAGTGTAAACAATGTTGGTTAGAAGTACAAGCATTGTGATTGCCGCTCAAGGTTTCTATAAAAAGTAGAATGAAAGGGCTTGTCCTAAAACTTTCGTGACATTTTAAGGATCGTATTGCTTTTAGCTTAGCCCATTTCATGATTTTATGCACTGCAATTAATTCCTTCGTTCAAGGGCACAACCACGATTCAAATTTTAATAGTATGACGCAAAGTTGTAACAATCACGGGTATTTTAGGCGACCTATACCATACTTCACAACAACATTTTGTTTCAAATAAAATAATTGACTCTGGCAACCAAAGAGATGTTGAGTCGTATAAACACGACGTTTTGTAATGTAGATTTGCTTTTACTGTTGTGTCGAAATTAAACAGCGGAGTTTCATATTTTTGATACCTGAAAATAAAAGGGGATTGTACGGACGATAGAAAAAAAAAAAAAAAACTATATAGTTAATCGTTTCGCGGAATTCGTAGTGCCTAATGCCAGAGCGACGCGGAAAATATATTCTGAATTTAGCGGTTCAAACCGGTTCGAACCGTTATTTTTGCTCTCCGGAACTGAACTGCGACTTAACCGAAAGCCGTGAACGCGAACGCGAACCGAGCCGATAAAAATTTAGGTTCGCCACTCTGTAAAAGAGTATAAATAGAAAATATTTTATTTTGTTTGTTTGGCCCAAAATAAAGCTTGAATCTTGTCAGTTGTGCGTTGTGACTGCGTTCTCATATGAGTGCTATTCTGGCAAATATTGTGGCATGAATTTGGTTAATTACCCAACATTAACACTTCACTTAACATGTAAGCTTAAAAATATTTGAAATGCTGCGTAATGCGGACTCCACCACATAGCTTGACGTTTGAAAACGCATATTTAAAAATATTCAAGCTTTATATCCGGCCTTATAAACAAAAAAAAACTACATATTTTTTTAATATTTTATATAGATCACTGTTATACCTTGATACCAATAAAAACGGAAACCAAGAAAACATTGTTTTTGTTTGTTTGTTTTTGTTTTAGAAAATCGATTTCGAATATGCTAGGTTTTTAAAACATTCGCTCATTCAAAGGCATATAATGGCTTTTAAATTGTACAATATCACATTTATACAATAAAAAAGGTCAGTTTGAGCTTTCTGAGAGATATAAAGGTCAGTAAAATATCTTAAATAAAACACACATAAGATCTTGCAAAAAAAAAAAAAGAGAAGATGGATGGAATTTTTAAAAAGAAAAGCAGTTTAAAACACTTTTTTTCAATGTATTAAGCGTACTCAAATCTATTTTGAGGGTGTCACAAAAGAAGACGTATTTCGTCACATGGGAAGTGACGAAATAGCGAGCGGTCAAACATGCCATCCCCGACAGCTGGGAGAAACGTCAGTTTTTGCCTAGGCCGCCAAGCTTGCCGTTTGCGCTCTTTTTAATTTAATGAATTTTCTCAAAACGTATGTTTTTGTCAAACTTAAAAATTTTACCCAAAACCCGTGCCTGAGTTGAGATGAAAACATCCATATACAAATTCATAAAAAAAAAAAATACATTGAATAGAAAATAAAAGTGCGCACGACCATATACATCAATGTCCTATTAAAATAATAAAACGAGACAAGCCGTTCTTTGGGTAAGGCAAGGGGCTACTTCTTCACCTCACTAAACACATTATTTGCAATCTAAGCGAAATTCTTCTTCACCTTTTTCAATCTGGACGAACATCTTATACCAGCGTGCGGTCGTGTATCACTACTGCATGGTGCACGTCAAATAACCCAAGGCTAGCGGTTGTACTTACATCTGTATCTCTAAACGAGGTTCAGAAACAAAATATCCATGGTAATGTTTACTTAAGTATTTATTTCTGTTATTTTTTTTTTACACCTTTTATGTACAGTTAGTTAGACATCCGCATGTATTGACCATGAGAGCTTGCATTAAGAGCATCAGAAGTCAACCAAATAAGAGAACGACCGGGACACGTCTGCACAGCGCTCATTTTATTTCGACCTTCGCGGTATATTTACATTTGTCGTAGCCACGAAACAATATCTACAAAAGTTCGGTCAAAGGTAACACGCACGCACACGTACACGCACATACACACACGCACGCACGCGCGCACACGCACACGCACACACACTTAGATGCGTGTGGATGCAAGCAGGAACGCACACCACACGTTTTGCACGACCCGGTGTTGCGCACGCGCGCAGCCCATCCTCTGCTGCGGGTGCAACAACCTTTTCGCGAATTCCCACATATATGTACAAGTACGTCATAAATCCGGGCATGTCAGAGGGCAAACGTATACAAGGTAGGATGTAGAAATACGCGAGCAGTACATTTGATTAACGTGACCTCCGCATGCTGTATTGCTTGGGGACCATCAGCTCGCTTTGGGAACTTGGAAGACATCCTCTCACGGTTTCGAGCTCGTCAGAACCTCCCTGCAGCGTTCGATGTTCAGCGAAGGTGGATGCCACGAACCTAATTTAGGAGAATCTCGCCTTCGCTTGGGCGAAGCGTATACGCCGGTTCTCGTCGGTTGTACGATACATAGAAAATATATTAAACACGCAGCTGAAACGTTGTTGGCCGCCCGATATTCTGAAACCACTTGATCACTGCCCACTGTGATAACCTCAGAGGCGGAGCCGAGATGTTCTGCTCGCTTCCTGCGCGAGTTATACAGCGCTACGCTCCTATCATATTCAGATCCCACGGTCAGCCAACGGACCTCGTAGTAAATCTAAGATATTACGATATGCTGTAACCTATACCGTGATGTTCGATCAAGTGTTCGTTTTCCATTTGTTTTCCTGGAAAAAGGATTTACTATTAAGATCTAAAAACTTCAGATCGCACAAGGTAAAAACCCCTTTAATCTCGAAGCGTGCTAAGAGTTTTTACATCTCAAAACACTCGGCGTGAAGCCATAAACACCTTGATTTGACTGTTTTTTCACGACCAAGTGACAACTTTCCAGTGGCTGGGCATCTGACAGCGCAAATGAAACTAGTTTTATTGAAAGACACTGACGCCGGGCTTCTCAGAAAACTCTCCAGAACCAACCCCCCCCCCCCCCCCCCCCCCCGTTTTCGTCAGAATCAGTCTCATTTTGTACACACGCGAGCACGAAGCGCTTCAGATTTGTTTGCATTTCATTGGTGGCACTGTCTCTCCATTTCAGTAAACGTAGATGCAGATGAGCTCTGTGAAGGTGTACATATTCACAGGTATCTTTCAGATAGTTTCGGTAGATATTTTCACCGTGAATTTCCACACGAGAACACCTAATGTCTTGAGATTTTCACATTCAATGCTTCCGCCGTATTTCAAAGCATGTACAGTGGTGAGTTGCGAACATCGCTTACGGCTTTTGAAAGTTAATTATACGTGGGAACCCTTTTTTAATAAATACCTATTGTTACACAGAATCAACAAAATGGATTCTTAATTATCAAATTAAACAAGCCAGGGGTTATCATTGAAATATAAATAGATTGAGATTTATTTTCGCTAAGAAGGGGCAGGCGCCTGTATCGTAGGCTGATTTCTTCTGCCTTCGAGATTCGCTCTTTCATACACGACCATCACACACGCGCATACTTATATTTTATACATATGTGAGAGATTCTGAATCAATTTGCCGAACAGGTCGAATGGAGTTAATTTCGTTCTCTTTATGGCCTCTATTCTGTGCAAAAGCGACTTCTGATATCTAAATCAGTATGTTACGCGAAACCTATTATCACACAATAAACGCTGTATGAACTGCGTGCATCGAACCTAATAATTTACCCTCAACGATTCTTTGTCTCTTTCCGCTTTATTCGCTAAGGTATAGCTATGATATGCTTAACCCTTCAACAAAGGGCATTTCCAGGACAGCTAGCCTTTGCTATGACCTCACTGCAAATATATCTACATAGACAAATAAGCGGAACAGAAGCTGGCACTGTCTAACTAACGATACCCGGCTACGATTCCGCAAGTAATTCGTTTCGGGACGCGTGCTGCGACACGTGCACGGGGAAGCAGCACTAACCACCACCATCGCGAACAACCACTCGCCGACAGGTCGCGGCGGAAGAGGCTATCTGTATCTTAGGAGGGTCGCGGCCCGACCAGGCACGAGGGCCGTCCTCCAAAATGCAAAGGGCGCTAGGCGGCAACTGACAGCGGGGTGAAGCACATGTTCCACTCACACACAGACACGTACGAACACGGGGAAGGGGCCAGGAGGCTCGAACGAGAACCCCGAGGCCCCGAGCGCCGCGGCCAGCTGTCCAGGCAGTCCGTCCGCAGCCGCTCGGTCCCGACTAAACATGCGAACCGTCATCACAGTTCGACGCCGCTCCAGAGGCGGGTGGGGCGTCAGGGGGGTCCGGCGGTCCGGCGCTCAGGGCATGGCGTCGGCCATGGCGTCGACGGGCGTGCCGGTCCCGTAGTGCTGCTGCGCGAACTCGTCCTCGGAGGAAGAGGAGTTGGAAGAGGACGAGCCGGCGTCTGCGCAGGGACTTCCGGCAGCGGCCATGATGGCGGCGGGTGCCGATGACGCGACCGCGTAGCCCGCTCCAGCCCGGTAGATGGGCACGGGGCCTCCGGCGCACGATACCGACGACGACTTGTCAACTGGAACATGGAAAAGGTGGAGACGAATTAGGGACATGATTAAAGGCAAAAAGCGCGGGCGGAGGGGGCAGCCCGACGGCTGATGAGGCAAGGCGGGCCCCCATCTCTCGTCCCCCCAATTCCCTCCGCTTTCCCGCTTCCACTAACGGCTGCGGCCTTTTCCTGACAATCGATGGAAATGAGGAGGCCGAGAGACGAAAAGGTGGGTGTCGCTGGAAACCAATCCGTCTCTCCCGGAATAATTTTTATGCCGTCCGGAATTCAATCTGCATTAATTGAGCGAAAGAGGATGGCGGTAAGGCCCCCTCCCTCCTCTTTCCTCGGGAACTCGCAGGAAGGATCGACCCCGTTTATATTAAAAAATATTTTTCAGCGGTTGGTTTTGCGGCGGTCGAGCTCTTCTCCCCCGCCAAGAGCGCAATCCCTCCTTGGTCCTTTTCTGGATGGCTGCTTTGCAGGTTGCCTTCCTCGCCCTTCCCCCGCTCTCGGCCCCCCTTACCGCGGAATTCCGTTCGCTGCCTCGCCAACTCGTCCGGACCTCTGACTGCTGCTGCTGCGATCGCCCGCTATATCCGGGCACTTTCTCAGCCCCATTCCGACTTTTGCGTCTACAAAGTTGGAGCGAACACAGTAAGATAAGAAATGTGTCCTTTTTTTCCTTGTTTTCTTCCATTTTCTCTCCTTGAAGATAACGTAATGCCGCACGTTTTATGGCGACAAAAGCGTAAGATATGTTTGTATACCGTTCCCTGCTATCCGATATGGGCTGGCAAAATCCGAATAATGATATTGTGGTCTATTATGACAGACTGATTCGAAAAGGTTAATCTAGTCTCCAAAATAGTTTCACGGATTTTCCGGTGGCTGCCATCTTTAAACTGAGAAGTCCTATGAGGGTATGTAACATACTGTTTGTCAAAGACAACTTTCAAGGTTTGGAAAGCACCTAGCAAGCTCCTGCTGCCATCATGGGCAAGGCAGCAACGTCCACAGGTATGGTGACCGGTGAATAGATCCTACCTGCATTCTTTGGATAGTTGCGTGTTCCCCCCTCACGGTTCGCCAGCTTGCCGTACGTGAGCAATACGATTAGGGCTCGAGCAAGAGTTAATATTGGACCATCAGCTGACTTGTTGGCGGTTTGGGACTCTCCACACATCTCCAAGTAAATTGGCAATTCAGAAAGTTTCAAAATAATAGGACGCCCTTGCGACCGCGACCATGTTCTGCCCATGCCCCGCTTTCATACAGATGATACATAGTCCGATGTGTACAATGCTTCCTTTTCTTAGTTTGTCCTGCGCGTATATGGTTTTGATTGGTCTTTGGTTTATTGTTTTTGAACATGGCCGCACATTGTTCGACTTTGTTTATACTGTGTTGCGCATGCTGTATGTATGTAGCCCTTTACCGTATTTAACTTTGCCCTGTGTTATATGTGATGTGTTTCCGTATTAGTATGAACGTCGAGTTGGGGGCTCAGAGTTAGTCAAGCTCCGAACCCCCATCTTCTTTTTTTGTCCGACCTCCAATTTACCGCAATTTTACTCGTGGTAACAAATAAGCTTCGCATTGTATAAACTTTATATTGCTTCACAAGCCTGAATTATTTTACTTTAGTTCCGGAAAGGGTGGTAGAAACATCCATAAAATGTCATCTCGATAGAGTTCACTACCAAAAATAAAGAAAAACTATGTGTTTGTTTTCAAAACAAATTAAATGAAATTAATCCAGATAAAAAGAAAAGACTTTCAACTGAAAAGGACTTGAACATAGGAATGCGTGTCCGACTAGTTTTAATGTATATACTTTTGTTTTTAATTTCTGCTTGTTAGCGTTCGCTCTGAAAGCGTATCGATGTAACGTACCTTTTAGGCTGGCTGACGTCGCGACAGGACGCTCAAATACCGAGTGCTCACATAACTTATGTTAGTTCTAGTTTATACCTTGACATCTCTTATGCAGCATGCAAAACAGATGTCACCTTGAAATTGCGGATCTTCAACAAGAAAGTAACAGCGAAATCGAGCTAGGTGTAAATTATCCGAAAATTCCCCGGAAACTGGAAAGTCTTGTCCTCTTAGAAATGGTACGGTCTATGCGCACGCTCTATAGAGCATGCGTGTGTGGTAAATATGAGATCTACTCGGAGGAGCCGAAACAATGGCGAGACAACAGTCCAATTTTGTCGCAGAAAAATCATTTGTACCCTTGTGGGGCGGATTAGGACACCCCCGAAAGCTTGAGCAACACAGAGTGAGAAGGATTTATTAAGCGATAAACTATTTAACCACGCCACATTCCGCTAATATCTCTTCCTAGATCGGAATGAATGGTACTCTGTTTGTTCTCCTGTAAAATTTGTACTTGAAATTTAAAAAAAAAAAAAAATTATAGCAAAATCAATGATAGCTTTTTGAGGTATCTTTATTAAGAACGCGAGACTGTCAATGGAAAAGCAATAAGAATCTGTAAGTTAATCACATTTTCCAACATATTGCCGTTTCAATTAAAAGAAACGCATACAAACGAAATCGCTAGATTAAAGATGTTGCTGAATTTAACCGCTTCAGGTTAGCTGACACCAAATATTTTTGTATCATATATTTTTCTATTGCAACAAGCAAAACGTTTGACCATTGTAAGCAGCAGGGAAATCCTGTTTGGCCTTTTCCCTACAACAGAAAAGACCTTGTTTACTTTTGTTTAATAGAATAATAAAACAGAACTATATTTTTATGAAATGAATACAAGAAAGGACGTCAAATGGCAGCTACCGATGACGGATATCATTCAGCATATCTTACGCCTACAGAATGTCCCTATGGTATCTCCACACCGGGCCTACTATATGCAAATCTCGCAGCCAATCGCTACACGGAAACAAAATCTGCAAATAACATTATGGAAACTTAAGTGATTCACTCTAGACAATGTCCACCTGAAAGAAGTTCGCCGTCGACTAAAGTTCTGGGCATAAAATTGATGTTGTAACGGCTACCAACTCACTGCACTTAGCAGTGTCGAGAGAAAAATATGGCCACTGCGCGAAAAGCCAGAGTGGCGTTCCCTGAAGTACATAGGCGCGTCAAAGGCGTCTTACTGTGTCTTGTCCTATAAGGGTACATTCTTTGCCCCGAGATGTGTCAGTTGCGTTGTTTTGCGCCTACTCGACATGACGTGTTATCAAAAATAAGTAGAAGTGATTGTGACAACGGTGGCTTATTGTAACATGGGTAGAACAAGGTTGTTGGTACGGACACTCTGAATGCAACTATCACCATGTGCTTCAAAACCCTGCCCCAACCCTAGTTACATAAGTACACTCAACTACTATTGAGAGTTCACTCAATCGCGATCATTCAGGGTTAGACACAAGCACCCACAGTAGAGACGTATCCTCGACTGTTCCTTTTTCTTCTACTTTGAAACTTCCTCTTTTCCTGCCTCAGTCTCAGGCTAGCATCAGAATAGTCATTAAGTCGTTTGTTTGGAATGCCACCGTGATCTCTGCCAACTGCACTTTGTGGAGGGTGGCGAAGCGCCAGGGCATGTCGGTGGTGGGCTGGTCCGGAATACCATCACACCCAAACATACTGCCTTGATCCACGAATAACTTTGAGGTACCCACCACAGTTCCCACGCACGCCTCAAGGCCCGTTCACTCACTAGCGTTCGGCCGCGACCGACTGAGACCCGACCGGGTTTTAAGCTTCGCGCGACGGCTTACGACCACGTCCGCAGCCGCGCATCCGGTCCTAAGCCGTTGCAAGAGTGGTCTTGGCTCACTCGGTCGTAGAAGGTGTCAAACGTGGGAACGGGCCTTCAGGTCGTGCTGTGCAGACTGCGATTAGGGCTGGTGTTTACCCGACACTATCCGCACACAAAAGGAAAAAAAGAAAAACAAAGGACTGCCTAATCTGCGATGTCCAGAAAGCTGCAAATAACCTCGTCTGCGACTGTGACATCTATGCTGTAAAAAAAGAATATATATATATATATATATGTGTGTGTGTGTGTGTGTGTGTGTGTGTGTGTGTGTGTGGTGTGTGCGTGCGTGCGTGTGTGTGTGTGTGTGTGTGTGTGTGTGTCCACAGGACAACAGAGTCCATAGACGACAGACCTTTCACTTCTGTGATGACCATTCAGTGAGACTAATAAGAGCAATCCCACAATTAATCGAGGACACCAAGCTAATTCAGTCTCCGTAAGCAAAGATTCACAAACGTTCTAAACAATTCTAACCCATCAAGCTTTCACTATTTTCTTTTCATATTCATCCGTACTTCCTTCTTTTTTATCCTTTGACTCTTTCCCCTGTGCGGAGTAGCTGCTAGAGCAGGTTTTCACGCCTGCCTCTCTGCCTTTCACTCATCAAAAAACAAAACAACAACTGAGTTTGCTTATCTTAGTCTTGGGCCCCTAAACTCGTCACACACAAAGTTGGGGCCAAAGTTGACGGAGCGCACCGATTGGCCTATCACAACGATGACTTCGCGCTTTTTTCGCCAACGTCCATCAGCGCGCTCAGCGAACTTTCGACTCCAACTTTGTGCTTGTCGAGATTAGGGCACCAGAACTGGATAAACTTTGCTGAGTTAGAGATTCGGTCGCCTGCAGCACTGTCTCGGACGGCTCGTGTAAAGGGCTCTACACATGCAAGACAAACCGTTGGACGGGCCATACGGCGGGTTAGAAAGTCTTAAATTGCTTGCGCGCAAATTGCGCCACGAGAAACTCGGGAAATCACGATCCCACATAATTAAGTACCGACTCGTGGTATGATGCGTCGGTCGCTTTGTTGTGCATGCACGTGCCTGGCGGGTTAGCGAAGCACTTACTACTTCGAAATCCTGAAGCAGGAATCTAGCGACAATCGTAGCGGCCAACACAGTGCTTGTGTGCGTATGTTTGTGTGTGTGTGTGTGGGAGAGGGGGCATGATTAAGAGTCCGAGCTGCCGTATAATGATTCAGTCTGATCAAGGACGACCCCTGGTTTATGAGTGCAGCTGTTAAGTCATGTCAATGACAATGCTATTTCCGCTATACCTTTCTTGCCTGCACTCGCTTGAAGGGTGCTTTGATACTCGTTTTGTACAAAACAAGACGTAATGTCTATTTTTTTAAATGCAACGGGCGTCCATAATCAATGTACTTTACCATTTATAAACGTAATGTGAGTTACAAAATAGCCATGTAGCAACACCTAAGAGTTCAGTTGAGCCTAAGGCGAAGGTATACGTGTATGTGAACGCACAGCACGGCGAACACTGCGACGCGATCGACCAGCTGAAGTCCTATTGGTGCGCGCCCAAGCAGCCCATTCTGACAGCGTCTCCGCCGGCCAGATGGCGCAACTGGTAAAAATAAACAAACGACAACAGCAACAACAACAATAACAAATAAGTGCATTGTTGCCACGGCATTTGTGAGCATTCGTTTTTTGTTCGGCGCGTCTGCTCTGACCTCGACGGACAAACAAACGCCAGATATCTCTCCGCTTCAATACGTTCATAAAACTGTTCTTGCCGCTGTTGAGGCACGAAACTGTGGTCAATAAAGAAGCAGTGTCCAGACTTGTACACGTTACTGAAAAAAAAGTAACCGATTACAATTACAATTACTTCACTGTAAAAAGTAACCGATTACAATTACAATTACAGCCTCATAAAAGTAATCGAAAAATTACTCTAATGTAATCGATTACTTCCATTGATGAAAAAACAGTTAGGGCGCAGGCGAGCTGGTGTAGGTTTACCATTTTTTTAGACCACCTGAGACTGAGTTAAAGAAACAAGACGACGTCTTGTTTCACGACAAGACGATGACGTGAGACGTCGTCTTGTTTTTTTCACCCAGTCACAAATAATCTAAAAAACAAACAAAAAACGATTACTTTCCACGTTACTTTTTAGTCAACTTTTTTTATTACAGTAGCATAATCCTTGGAATCTCGCGCTCAGTTGTTCCGAGAAAAAAAGCAAAAAAAAAAACCTTGACCGTTTTTGTTTAGAGCTGAATGAGTGACGCCAACACTCCCAATCCCTCTCGTGAAAAAAGAATAAAATAAAAAGGGCGCTGTTTAAGTGCATTATGCACAAGAGGCTGGATAAGGTCATTTTTCATACCCGGACGTAGTCTCCGGTGTACAAAAAAATGTTCCCGGGAGACGAAGCACAGTACTGTAAGTGGCCTACTAATCCTCAAGGTCCCGTAATTAGTGGTTTTGAAATGAAAAAAAAAAAAAATTTGACCGTTGCCCAGAGCTGAGGATCTCCAGGAGATATACACCCCCCCCCCCCCCCCCCCCAACCCCCCAAAAAATTGAGAAAAATTGTCATGGGTAATTTTGTAATCGATTACAGCAAAAAAGTAATTCAATTACAAGGATCGTTACTTTTTAAAGGAACACAAAATTACGGTAAAATGTAATCGAAATCCATTACTTGTAACGCGTTACATACAAGTCTGGCTGCGTCAAAACAACACGCGTGGCGCAAGCGCCAAGTTCTGTATGATTTGGCACGCCGAAAAAAATACTTTAAAAACAAGCATTTTTTTTTTTAAAGTCCGCGACCCGCGAATACACGCCGATTATCGAAGAGTCATCAGGTGGCTCAGCTTAAAACCAAGGTGATGAGAGAACTTTATCTGGCAGCTGCGACACGCGCAGTGTCCACACCTATATATCTTACATCCTGGTTGAGCCTAATCTAAGGCAGGCGCCGTTAACTGCCATTGGCCTGACGGCATTTGAAACGGTTCGTGTATTAAGGGTGTTACTCAGATTAACATATGAAGGTACACAGTTTGAGGCACGTGGAACGTAAGTTATAATGTTGCAGCGACCTCTAGGCGAATTGTAAATAAGGGACGATGGGATTTTGGTCGTACTTGGAACTATTCGACGTGGGCAAAACGTGCAAACTCACCACTCATCTGCGGATGTCCGCCTCCTGAAGATGCCTGCCCTAGGTACAGGTGCGAAGGACAGCCCTGGCCTTGGAAGTAGCCACCAGAGCCCAAGTGGAACGGTATGGAAGACGATGCTCCCGTGGCATTCATCTTCGCATTGGGCGGCGTCTGCGGTGGAGTGTCTGTTTGCGGCGCTGTGGCTCCAGGACTGAAGCCGTTGCTAGCGTAGCCTCCGAAGTGGCCAGATGTGGGTGTGCCGCCTCGGTGGTGGTGGTATCCTCCGGAAAACCATCCAAGTACCGAACCGTGGTTTCCTGTGGCAGCCGCAGCTTCCTTGGGTGTACCGTGCGTCTGATGTCCCGACGGCTGACCGGCAGCACAGGGCAGTGGAGGCGGAGGGCTCTTGCTTGTGGCCGTGTCCGCAAGGGACCAGATCTTGGGCTTGCTGTGTGAGTTGTCGGCTCCGGAAGAATCGTCCGCCGCGTTGGGCGAAGACTTGGACATGAGAGATTCGAGTCCCTGGAGGTCTGGAGATGGGCTGTCTGATGAGGCAGCCGGTGTGTAGCCCGTCAGGGCGTTCGGCGGAGCCAGAGACATGATGCCACTGAGGATCGGTGACCGGGACGTGCCTCCGACGGCATACGGGTTCATGGAGTGCCCGTAACCATGCCGCTGTTGTTGCTGTTGCTCCATGGCGGCGTTGGACGGGTGGGGCTGTGTGGTCTGCAGCTCCGCTGGTTCACGCTCGACCTCGACGGAAGTTTGAGGTGGCCGTAACGTGGAGTCTGAAACAATGGGGAAATTACACGCGAATTTTACGATCGATCATTCGAATTCTTTGCACCCTTAAAAGTATACCTTTTAAAAATCATTGTTGTTCTAAGATAAAGCATTAGGTGAATTAAAGTGCACAGTTGCGGCGTTCCGGGACGAGGCTAATCGCCTTATCAAAAGTGACTGCTGGTCAAGAATAAAGTCAAGCTTATGTGGAGCGCAAGTTCGTCTGCTTCTTGCACGGGGGTTGAGATGATGTCAGAACGCCGAACTCTTATTGGCTGATTAAAAAAAATATTTGATAGACCTCAAGACGTCTAGCATTAAGGTCCCTCCGCAAGAAGCAGACGACTTGCTCTCACCATAAGTACGTTTAATGCCCGTGCCACACGGGCAACTCGAATGCCGTTTACAACGAATGACATTTGAGCAGACGGCCAATCAGCACGCGACACTTCGGGCGTGGCGCATTCCACGCGCGACAGATTGCGAGCTGATTCGCCGATCACACAAATGTCATTCGTTGTAAATGGCATCCGAGTTGCCCGTGTGGCACGGGCATAAGAATACAGTCTGCGTGTGCGACGGGTTGGCTCATGTTGGTTACTCTCAATCTTAAAAACGTTGCTTGAGTACGGTCAGTAAATATTTTACACTGGCGAGGTCGATTCATCGCTCACCATTAACGTGTCAAAATCAAACTGAGTACAGGAGACTCACTCAGACACCTACATACTGGTCACCAAGAAAGCACCTGAACAACAGAAGGCTTTCAGTCGTTCGCGATTATTTTGCAAAAAAATACAGAAGCCATAATAGTACCCGCTACCTTTTAGTGAAACAATTAACAGGAGTTGGTGGCATTCCTTAAAATACTAGTACGCTTCATATTAATTTTTTACTTAAGAAATCAAGCTTTCTAACATTAATTTCTATCTAATCACATAATCACCCTGTATAAAGTGGTTTTCAGCAAAAGTTAATGCCTAACGCATTTCATGAAACGTTTATATATAACTCCCCATTATATAAAACATCATCGATCCCCCAGAGTATATATACTAAAAACAAAATATAAAAACAATAATTTGTAACGTCCCATGCGTCTTTCAGGCGACATATTTCTTATGTTTAAGATTATACAAGGTACAAACATATGACGTCAATGTCTACGAAAAAGATCGATGATCTTAATCAGAATTCAACAGCTTCTTAGCTACGTATCTTTATGTGGACACAGAATACAGAGTTACGAACAGAGATCGCTTGTAGATCACCCTTGATACTACGGCATGCGAATTCCTTGACATGCATTGAGCACACTCATTAATAAACAGAATAACCATAATATTTAACATTTATCCATTCTCAATAAAACATATCTGCTATGTCTATATGTGAATAGTTTATTAACCACACGTGTCATATACTCATTAAAGTGTCTCGCCCAAACCGTTACGAGGACATATTTATTTAGACTGTGCGGTTTTCTTTTTCTAGACACTATACAGCGCTCTATAACTGTGACATAGTCAACCGGCTAACTCCAGCTTTTCTCGTCAATCGCCTAAATTGTTAGATAAAAACTCAAAACTGAAAATTTAAGTCGAATTAAAATTTAGTTGCGTATTACTGTCATCACTGTCCGAACTTCAAAATTTGCTTATCCTGTTAGTCTGATTTCACAACTGATATAAAAAAAAAAACAGACAAGGCAAAATAAAACGCAAGGACCTAGCGTGCACATTCTCGTTTTCAGTTTCTTCTCGGTTTTTTCTTTACCCACTTCACGTGATTTTATTGTCCATTTGGTTAGAGCAGGATTGTTTCCCATTCAGCCGCCGCCTCCATTCTCCAGTTCCAGGTGGACAGAAAAAAAAAAAAGAAACACAGCGAGGCTCGGGAAAACCTTAGCAGCGACTGGAGGACCCCCCCTTGCCATAAAGGTGTTCGGTCCCAGCAGAAGACCTTGGGGACCCACTACACTTGCTTAAATCCTCGTCTACAGCGACTGCCAGGGGTCCCCCAGTGGAGCCATCAGGCGCTTATAAATCTCGACCCAGCCAGCGCTGTGTCCGACCGGCGTCCTCAAGTTGACGTGTTTGTGCTGGTCGTTCGATCGGTACCCAGAGAAGCGGAGAAGGGAAGCGCCATTTCGCACTCCGCAAAACGGGAGCCTAAATACACGTAAGCAACATTACGTCTCCCTCGCTTCCACTTCCCGATTCTCCCCTCCGTGCGTTGCTTTTTGTTGTCCGTCACCTTTTTTTTTTTTCTTTTCTCGTTTATTTCGCGCTGCTTCGTTGATCCCTACCTAACGGGAGAGACAGCTGTCGAGGGATTCTAGTGCTTCACCATATCCATGGGTTTGGGGTCTGGGTGCCCCCTCTAAATTCCTGCGCCACCTCCAAGTTAAAAGCTTCTTGAGTTCTCTCTTTCTAGATAGGCGTTTAATTTGTACTGTAAGGAGAAACCCCCTCTCCCCTTTTCTCTCTTTTTCGTTCTCTTTCTCTGCCCACGGCTGGAGAGTTTCCCTGCCCACGCGCCAATTTCGAGGGTGGACACCTCGTTTGATAGATGAAGCAGGGGGAGGGCAACGCGACGGGGGGGGGGGGGGGGGGGGGGGGGGGGTAGCGCTCTGTTTTTATACCCGGCTCTTCCCGAAAGGGACGGGAGAGACGCACGCACACAAACACACCAAAACAACGCTGGAGCGCGCCGGAAGAGTAGCGCAACCTCTCAATCCACGCACGCGGCGAGCGCGCTCAGCCCGAAAGAGGCCGTCGGGATATCTAAAAGCCAATCCGCCATTGAAAATATCTCCGGTTTATTTACTTTTGATGGGGGGGGACTGAATGGCGGGCCCACAGAGCCGGGGAAGTTGACTCCGGTGAGAGAAAAGGGGAGCTTATGATGTGTTTACTCGATGATGTGTTCTGTTGTTGTGCTTTCCAGGTTGCGACGGGCGGTTTGCTCTCTGTCGGTGCGGTGCCCCCCCCTTTAAGCGCTGGCGTTTCGTTGTGCTGGTGCCGCCGCTGCGCGCTTATTTATGGCATCGTCGTCTAAGCGACTACTGCCAGCGCACGCGGTGTGCGGTCCCCCGCCAGTGCCGCCGTAAAGCCGCCTTCCCTCCCTGGGTTCGCCATGAGCACTCACTCGCGCTTCGTCCAGGGGTGTCGCTCGTGTCATCAGCACCTGGCTGCGTATGCGAGCGCGTCTATAGTTGGTTTTATTTCGGGTTTCTCTCGCGCTTTTGTCTCCGCGGTCGTGGTGACTCACAACGGTGTTCTGGCTCGCAGGTACTTCACAGCCATGCACGTGTGCAGTGCGTGGGCATGTTTCCTCGTTTAGATGGTTAACGCAACGCCGTCTTCAAATTCCGCTTCGCTGCCACACCCGCGGAAAACTTCTCGGAGCGGAAGGCCATTATTATTTATTATTAGAGGTGGAGGGTCGGTGTCGCGGCAGTGCGTGCGGAATCGGTCTGCGGTCTGCGGTCTGCGGCATTGTCCCGCATATTAAATAATTTATAGTTCTTTTTAATTAAATTAAATTAATTTTATTAGGGAGTTTTATTCAAATGTTATTTGCTAACTATTACATATATCTCGTCTTGCTCTGGATTCGTTGTCGGCAGCGAGATTTCGACCATTCGGCTACCATTATACAGTCGGCTAATTGTCTGCATCGCGGTTATTCGGAGTTTACACCTCAAGGTTACCCGTTGTACAGAGCGCGACACTGTTAGCGCGAACAAGCGATCGCCGGTTTTTCCAGTTTTTTTTTTAGAAACCAAGGGATGTCATCCAAGCTATTATTGCTACGGAAAGAGCTGATTTAGTTCTATAATTTAAGCGATAAATTTTTGTGCTCGCTAATACTATTTAGAAGTAAAATGCGAAAGTGCACCGATGTCGTGTTCGCGCTAACTTTGTCGCGATGTGTACACGAAGATGGGGCTGGTGCCGTGTCAGCACCTACGTTTGTGGGCTCCACCCCCCCCCCCCCCCCCCACACACACACAGAACAAATTCGCAGAAAAAAAAAAAAAGAAAAACGGTCACGCATGTTTGCTCACCTAATGTAAGTTATTTAGTTTTCACGTTGTTATCGACCGACGAAGGTATATTGGGGCGAAGCTACAGAATGTAAATTTCCCTGCTCTTGAAAGTACCTGCGGGGATCAACCAATCGGCGTGAGGAAAAGATCGACGTTGATGTCCAAACAGAAAGTTACCGAGCAAAACGCCTCGACCATTTCGCTCATCCTGTTTCTACCTCGAGCAGCGTGGTACGATGGGAATTTTGAAAAGGTACATCTATTCGCTACCTTAATCGAGTCTGGAGCAAAAAGAGGAAAGAAAAAGATAAACCGCCGCAAGAAGATAAGAAGAAATGTTGACATTTGTAAATGCCTTGATTTGAAAGTTCTTTTGAAGTGGTTTTTAGTTGCAATTTCATGAATTATGCATCTTGCTTGGAAGCAAGTCAAAAGGATTTTTGCTCTTTTTTTTTTTCTTCTCCTTTTCTGGCCAAGAAAACTCATCTCCGACCTTAAAAACCTGAATTTCGTGTTCTTGAAACAATTTGATCGTGTCTGGATTTCGTTTTGTAAGGTGGAAAAGTAGCACGAACATGCATTCTATTCGATTATAAGTCGTTGAACCGTTGACGCTCTCGCAGATTATTCGGTAAGAGCTCACTCAGTCGGGAGGAAAACTCGCTCGTTTTCTCTTTGCTATGTATACGTATTTAATATTTGTCCATATTTCCAAGCAGGTTATATCCGAGGCCTCCTCCAAAGTGACAACTGAGCGCGATGGCAGCCGTGTACGACAATCACGCTCTTAGAAAGATACACACAGACGATAACTAGAAAGAGAGAGCGACAGGGAGATAAAGAGAGAAGCAGGAGGAGGAAGAGAAAGCAAAAGAGTGATATAGCGTCAATACCAAGCAAGGCCCGTATATTTCGTGCCAGGAGGGCTCCACTCAGAACGTAAGTGTCGCGGGAGACGTCGCGAGTCTAGTTTGTGATCGGCTCCGCCGATCACAAACTAGACTCACGACGTGTCTGCACGACTGCCGTTGACCCACAACGAGACATGGCGGCGAGAAGGCTAGAGAGCCACCACGAACCGGACTCGCCCTGATTGTCACAGCCGAGGCATAAAGCCGACAGGAACGGGGGATAGCCCTAACCGCCGATCCTCCGCTGCCGAGCACTTTTTTGTTTCCCCGTTCGTCCGCGGCATTGGGCGTCGTTTAGTCCAGGAATGGCAATGGTCCGTTCCTTTTTTCCTTTTTTTTTTTTCTTTTGTCGACGCTCGTGATATGTGCCTTGTTTTATCGGAGCCAGTTCCAATAGGCTACCTGTCTCGCGGGACTAATGAAATTGACAGCCACCGATCGGCAAATAGTACGGACAACGCGCGCCACCAGTCGGGGTATACGGCCCGCGTGTCATCCGCTGCCCTAATTCGTCGTCCAACTCTCCATCTCTTGCCCCCCTCTCTCTCTATCTCTCTCTTTCTCTCTCTCTCTCTCTCACACACAGACACAGCTTCGTACCTCCTGATAATACAGATTCAGTGCGTTCGGAATGAAATATCTAAAAATACAAAAAAAAAATTAAGTGAAAAGACGGGCTGCTATCTTCGTCTCTTCTCTACCTTGTTCAATAACCGAAGGCGCGTCCGTATAGGCATAGTGTAATACTTTTGTGCGTATAATCCCCCGCACGAACAATCGGAACCGGTTTACCCAGCGCTCCGCTGAAGTCAGACGATTTCATTTTTTTTTTAGGTTTGTTTTTTGAGGGCCTCCTTTCAACAGCAATCAGCGACGCACAGCGACTGCTGTACACTGACAAGCCACGCGGCGCCCAAGGAGCTCGCGATATTGTAGCGTGGCCGCCGTGACAGCCAGTTTTTGGTAACGCAGATAAACAGCGCCACGCTTTTAGGATTCTTATTCAAACTCAGAATTGCTAATGTTCTACCCGGCGAACCGAGGTTCCGTGGTGAGCGAGTTTCTTGGAAAAGCGTCTCGAAAGGGTAACGACCGGCGACAGCAATGAGCAAAGGGGTAAATGCGTTACCCTCCCACTACATTCCGTTCAATGCAAAGCAAGTCTGTGGAATATTGGCATGTAAAATCTCGAAGGTCATGTTTTCGGTTACGGGGTCAACATGAATGTTTATACAGCGATAAGTCAACCTCCCTCGTAGTGTGGGAAATGGAGCCGTGCGTCGCTCCACCAGTTTGATAAGCTGGGCATAGATCTGGAAATAGTACGCGCGTATCAAGAAGAAAAAGATGCACTGCAGTGTCCGAAGAGCAGCCAGGTTAAGATTCAAAGGGAACACTGTAGTGTCCGAGGAGCAGCCGAATTAAAATAAAAAATGAAACACCACAGAGTCCTAAAAGCAACCAAATTTAATCTACTAATGTAATTTACACTGTTCTACGCGTGTCTGCATACATTATGTTGTTTACGCTCTTGTGTGTGAGCCTCTGTTGCGGCTGGTCAAGTACTTTCATTCTCCTAATAACCGCTGTACCAAGTTTTTTTGTTTTGTTTTTTGACAGAACACAGTAGTTAACGAAGCTCTGAATCCAAAGATGCGGAATGTTTTTACTCACTCACGAGGACAACGATCTCTGTCGATTCGGATGACCTGCGACCTACGCGCGAGTTTAAAGATTGTCAGCCTCTTTACTCGGACGAATTGTCTAATCCTACCTCCATTCTCTGACTTCATTCCGGCATGAGCATTGATCGGGCCACCTGAGTCCCTAACTAAGCTAGGCTTCAGGGTAGCCGCACTTCAGACGTATTGTTGCCTAAAGTCATTGTTGTCAGTTATAGGAAGCTTTATCTGAAATCGCAGAAAGTGTTTTCCGCCTTCCAGAAATTCTAGAACAGTTCGCGACACAGGAGAAAACGATTTCACCTGGACTTTCTGATATCGTATCTAAAACTCCAGAAGGCTCATTTTCGAACCGTATTGCACCCGCTCCGCACTGAGCACCAAAATGGCGACAATCACAATATAATCGAACAATGGAGTGCCGGTACTCTAAACGTAGCGCCTCTAGTGACTCAATAAAGCCCTCATACCGCGAAAAAGTTAGAACAAAGCTGCTCAATTTTTTTTTTTTTTTTTTGCATCGAATTCCCATGGTCATGCCGGAGTGGAGACGACCCCCCCCCCCCCCCCCCCCAACGTTCTACCAGTAAAAACAAAAAAAACAAAAAAAAGATTTTGTTATTTTTAATGACGCCCCACAAAACCTTTTTCAACCCACTAACACCTAAACATTGCGTATCATGTTCTCATGCACGATACAAAATCTATATATTTTTTCCTTTTTTTTTTTTTTTTTGCAACGGCCAGGCACGTGTCCAAAAAAAAAAAGGGGGGGGGGGGGGGGGGCATGGGGCTCACTCCCCACCCCCCGAAATCTTCTATATTTCATACCCCCCGCCTTGAATCAAAATCCTGGCTACGTGCCTGGCAACGGGTAAGGTAAATGCACGTACCTCGCGAATGTTGCAAACTCGATAGACTGCAGTAGGATCTGGACGACTCTGTCCTGCGCATGGGGTCCTGGGCGATGCTCGTGCGCTCCTCCATCGTGTCCTCGTCGTCTTTCTTGTCCTCCCCGGAATCATCCGCGTCGGCTTTGTTCCGAGGCTCCCACGTCATCTTGTTCTCCTTCTTGAGCCGACGTCTCGCGTTGGCGAACCACGTGGATACCTTCGAGGACCGAATCAACAGAGTAGACTTGAACTCCTTCGTTCGACTCCTCGATAGGTAGGCCTAAACTGTCTTTAGCAAACGAGCGAGACGCGATTTTACGCAGCTGTACACCCAGCATATCTCAAATACGCGCAATCACGCACAAAACAAGATGAGTCACTGACCATAACCTTCACAGTATCACTTAATTTGCATTATTAATCAATGGACCTTTCTGGAATGTAGCGCGCGCCCTTAAGCGACGAGCGTGAGGCATTATGGGAACAGTGAGGGGCGCTGCTCCGTCGTCTGCTGCTACCGCCGTACCGCCAGCGAGAACCGCGTTGCCTACGTTTGGCGTTAAGTCCCTCTGTAGGGCAGACGATAATTTTTGCAGTGCCTAGTTCTGCGCTGCGTCGCCCAAATGAGGTGATGAAGCCTCAATCGCAGCACGTCTGTCCACTGCCCTTTTTTTGGATAGACCATCGTTCTGGATGGGCCACCTTTCTTTTTTTTGAATGAGCCATCACAACCACGTCCAACGTTTTTTTTTTTTTTTTTTTTTTTTTTGTTTTTTTTTTTTGTTTTTTGCTACAGCAATAAATTGAGCTATACTCCACAGCAGTCCAAGCTACAGGCGCGAGCCAGCCCGCGCTCCTGGCTTTGCGACGTGTATTTCAAGCGGGAGCGCTTGCCCCGCGGAAGAACGTTTTAAAGCAGCCACCTCGAGCTCTCGTGTTTGTGGCATTGGCGACAGTCTTAAAGGTGAATGGAGTATAGACCATTCCGGCCCTCAGCACAGCGTGCGATCTCCTCAGCCCAGCACGCGCATGTTCGTCGCCTCGGAAAGCGAGTAAACTACGCGCCATACGCAAGAACGCTGAACATGAAAGCTGCAGGGAGCCCTTTTCTGGAAAGGTTTATAGTTGGTACATTTTACTTTCCTTCGCCATTACAAAAAAAAAAAAAAAAAAAAAAAAGCGCAGCTTGTCTTAACAACGTTCGAAGACCGTTAGCTCGCCTGGATGCCTGAACGGATTAAGAATGGGGCTGCAGTTCGGCAAGTAGTGTGCGCCACCTAGCGTGCAAAAGCTCGACTAGGCTAGATTTGGCTTGCTAAAGGGCGAAACACCCTCACAGTTCCCATAATGCCCGGGAGAGCTCACTGGTGTCGCTGGCGTTTCCAGAAATGTTAATTGCAAATGGAATGACACCACCAATCGCGAAGCAGAGAAACGGGGCCAAATAACCACGAGCTGCGTTTCGTGAATTACAAACGACACACACATTCAAAAGTATACCTGCATATGGGGCTCTACAACGCCACCTACCTGTGTGAGCGTCATCTTGGTGATGATGGCCAGCATAATCTTTTCGCCCTTGGTCGGGTACGGGTTCTTGCGGTGCTCGTTCAGCCAGGCCTTGAGCGTGGACGTCGAGTCCCTAGTAACGTTTTTTCGTCGCGCCCCATTGAAGTCGAGTCCGCCATACCTGTAGGCACATTTTAAACGTTTTGATTTACTTTCCTCGGAAAAAGAAGGAATATGAATCAAAGGGAAATCGTAAAGCACACCGTGTAAGCTCTAGAAATATTATATGGCATGTCAAATGTCAGAAACAAATTCGAGAGCTTCCCCTTGGGCTTTATTTGGCCTATATTCAGACGGTTGATGCGTATGTGCGCCTGTACTTCGTTAACGTTATGTATACAACCTCAGGCAATGTCAATTGAAGACAACGGTTTAGCTGGTGATGTCTTCCAAACCCAAAGGTGCACATAGGTTTTTGTGGGAATACTAGCCTTTGACTCGCACTCTAAAAGCCAAGAAATTTTAGAAACATAGGTAACATTGTAACCTAGAAATATGTTTTTGCCCGTAAAATTCTATAGTTCGTCGTGGACTTTTATGAACAGTTTGGAATTTCTACCTTTGCTACATGGGAAAATTAAGTGAGTGCGGTTGAGCATATAGAATGTCACTTTCAGGTGCGTGGTTTAACACGGCTACAACAAATGTATCGTTTGGAAATGAATAAAGCAATGGGTGCGCGAAATACTAAAGTATATCTGCAAAGTTATCGCTAATATCTCACGGACACTTTCAGAATGAAACGCTCGCAGTGCCTTTCTACTACTCAATATCTCCACTACGGAGCTCGAGTTGCAAGCTGTCCTCCTGGAAATAAGGACGGGGATGGAACCCACATCCCAGAAGGTGACCAACGCTACCATCTTCACGGACAGCCTCTGAAAGCATTACGAGGCCCCGAACGACGGAAATCCACTACCCTCATTAAGAAACTCAGCAAAAGAATCCGTAGACACCACAACAATGATCGAGATCCAAGTACAGTGGATACCAGGCCGGCGCCGGGAACATAGGCAACGAGGGGGCACTCAGACTTGCGATGAACCACCTGAAATCATTTCGGCTGCGAGCTTTCAAAAGGAGAAATACAAAAAAAAAAAAGGTGGAAGTTGTTTGGCTATTCTAATAATGCGTTCACTTTATGCATTAGATAAAAATTGGCTGCAGAAACCACCTTTGTTGGTTGTCTATGAAATTGCGACGATAGCATTCCTCATGGGACTCACGACACAGCTCACTGTGAATACGACGACGCAGATGTTGAGTAAACGCTTTATTCAATGAATGGTTTACGACGCAATCATTAATGTGATCGTGACTGTAGCGCGCCACTACGAAACTGAGTGATTGCTGCGTCTCTGTGTAATTGCTTAATATTCAGTCTCTGTGATGATCGTTTAATGTTCAAGCTGTTTCCCCACCTTCATTACAGCATCGTGTGCGTGTCTTGTCCTGTCTCTGCGTAATCGTTTAATGTACACGCTGTTTCACCACCATCATCGATATCGTGTACCAACTAGCTCAACTCAAACCGATGATTGCTTTGTAGCTTGGGCGCAAAGCTGAATATGTGCGTACTGTCGCTCCGTCTAGGCGCGGTACGGGTTTATCTGCTTGCGCCGCAGCCACGAGTGATTGCTTTGTAGCTTGGGCGCAAATGTGAATGTGTTGCGTGCTGCCGTTCTGTGTATGCGCGGCACGGGTTCATCTGCTTGCTAGGACGACGTCCAAGACGGTCTAGGACGACCTCTAGGACGACCTCTAGGGCGATCTCAAGGTCGACTTCTAGGACGACCTCAAGCACGACGTCCAGGACGACGTCAAGAATGACGTCAAAGGCGACCTCTAGGACGACCTCTAGGACTATCTCTTGGACGAAGTCGAGGAAGACGCCCGCATACGCGTGGCGCCTGCGTATGCGGACGTCCTGTGTATGCGCTATGCGAAGGCGCCGCGCCGCCGCGCGGCGCCTAAGTACGCGCGGCGCATACGCACGCCGCGCACTCGCACGGGGCGTTCGAGGCCACATTGCGTATCGCGAAAAACCGGGTGAAGTAGCTAAAGAATGATATCTCATTAAAATGCTCTAAAAAAAATGTGTTTTCACTAAAAAAATTATGTTGCTTCTGCTCCAACAAGTTGATGGCGGGGTTTACATTAAGGATAGAAAGCTCTTAATTAAACTTTACTCTACGGCATAAAAATACCTTCAGAGAATTTCATTTTTCACACTGTTTTGTAAAAATGAGTTAATACAGTTTCAATTTAGAACAAATCTGATTTAAAACATATCTTATTAAAACCAATTCCGACTTAAATAAAAAAAAAACATATATATATGTTAAACATATAAAATTTCTGCAAAAAAAAAAAGACAAGGACATGAATTAAACAGGACAAGCACTAATTTTATAGCACTTGTCCTGTTTACTTATTGTCCTTGTCTTTTTTTTTTCGCTATTTCATATGTTTAACTAAGATGAAGTAACTAGCCCAACAACGTATCCTCCTAAAACAATATTGTGAACGTGATTGTGTGAACGTGTTTTAGTCAACAAAAATTCCATATTGTATTTTATTTATCTTACTACTGGCACTTATCTATTCGTATTTATCTTACTACTGGTTCGTGCGGTAAAGAAAACATCACACATTTTCCATTAATTTTCAGTTATAACTGACTAGAGGTGTTTGGTTTCAGAAAACTCTTATAGCGTGAAATCTTCGCGTCACTTGGTAAGTAAGTAAGTAGTATTTATTTTCAGCAATATTGTGCAGAGGGCACCAGACAAAAAGCTTCCATGAGGTAGCTTGTCCGGGTCTGGTGCCCCTGCACTTACAGGGCATGGTAGTAACAACAGCTACTATACATTACACTTTGTCTAAATAAAACAAACACGTACATCCTTTTTTGTTAAACAATGAATATCATTTTGGTCTATAATGAACGCGCTAAGTAATCTAGGCAGCTTTCGCGCAATAGATTGCAAAACGCGTTCTGTTGCGTTTTTCAATATATTGCAATCTATCACAATCGATTCGCGATTGGTAAACCGCAGATGCCAATAACTCTGTTTAGTCTCGTGCTCACCGAGGGAGCTCGCCGCCATGACTTGTGCACAGTTTTGTTAGGTGAAGCATAAAAAGAAGCAGACATTGACGGCGCTCTTTTCAGTTTTGCCTACTCACTGACACGTGAGGGAATGAAGATTGTACAATATGAACGTGTATCCAATTCAATGTCATGCACTGGCTACACAAGCCCTGAACGAGGGCGACAAAAGCGTCTGCTGTTCTTCCGTCGCGCATTTATTCTCGGTAAGGGCATGGGCGAGAAACACAGGATGTAGGAGGTGGCGTTCTTTGGTAGTATGCAGTGAATTCAGCTTTTACGTACATTTTAAAGCAAAAATACTTGTCAGGTATTTTGTTACCTGTAAGACGGGGTGCCACCATATTGTGAGAGTATAGATAAAAAGTGATTTATGTCTTATAACCGCTACTATTGCTTGACTTTCTGTTACTGTGTCATCATTTCAATCAGTATGTCATCATACTGTGTCATCGTTTCAGTCACCATGTCATCATGTCAATCAGTATGCCATCATACTGTGTCATCGTTTCAGTCACTATGTGATCATAAATAGGATTTATTTCTGCTCACAAGGTTTGTATGATCCATGATTATTTTATGTATAAACCATTTGTAACACTAAAACCTTTATGCGCATGTAAAGAATTATTTAGGCCCCACTATGTAACAAAGTATTAGAATTTTTTTTTTTCAATAAGGCAGGAGCAGGGTGGAAAAATCGCCCGACGTCATATAAAGCCACGCAATGTGTGTAAACAAGTTACGGAACTGTTACCAAAGATGTTGATTGACAAAAGCGTGCGAGTACGACCCAGGTGTTTACTCTAAATTACTCTAAATTATTGAAGGCCCAGTAGATTATGCCGGGAAGTTTTATATTTATACGAGTATTTTTGTCACGTTGAGTCATCATCGAAATGTTCTCGTTTAAAAAAGAAATAATACAGGAACCGCACGGGGAAAAGGCAATCAGTGCCAATGCGCCAACATAAATCCACCATTTCACTACACAGTACACAGGGACCGAGTAAAGAATGCATAATTTCCTTCACAAGTCCTCTAACAAGCCTTCCCAAGCCCCTCTATACGTGGGCGCCATCTATCCCCGTGCGAGTGAAGCGCGCTCGGTGCGCCGAACATAATGTGGTCGCTGCGCGAGACAGAGAGTCATCACATAAATGTATTTCTTCCACCGTGGTCACACCTTAGCATGGACTAACCATGAAGGCTGTCCAAGCGCGAGCGGCTAACCTTGACTGCCCTGACTGGAGCACTCACTGCAAGAGCGCTCGTGCAGCCGCCGAGGCTTCCTTCAAAGCAACTGGCTCGCGCCTTTAGCATGCACCGCTAACAATAGTTCATGCTAAGGTGAGACGAAGTATAGCTTCAACGTCGCCGCCCCCCCCCCCCCCCCCCCCCCCTAAAGTAAACGAAGCTACAGCAATCTGTACAGTACGAGGCATTGCATAGCCTAGATCTGCCAAATGGTTTCGTTTGTTCGAGAATTCACACATAGAAGGTACTTTCCAAGGCCACACTCTCGCGTCCATGCCTTTGTCAGTTGTTTGTGTACAGATGTTTGTGAAACGGAGTATAAACCCCAGATCTCGTGTTGCCCGTAACTGGAAGCAGAAAAAGATTCATCTACTGGGTGCATCAAGGAGCGGCCAGGCTCTTCAAATCGAGTTCCGATTTTGTACAGCGTTGGCCACACGTGGTGCATTTGTTCTACAAAGTTCGCAAAAAGCGAGCTTACCTGAGGAAAAAGTAAAAAAAAAAAGGCTTAACTTCTATGGAATTGCAGCGAAGTCACCGGTCTTCAAACCATAGGGCGCCCTATGGTTTGAAAACCGGTGGCTTCGCTGAATCAAACGTTTCAGTGCGTATAATAAGTGGCGCACTATCTTTCCATGAGTTGGCCGCCGCCGGTGTGCGCGAGCACACGCAGCGAAATTGATGTCATCATATAACCCATTCACGCTTAATAAGCTACTGACTCATGGAAAGATAGCGCGCCACTTATTATA